CTGGTCGGCGAATGTTTGCATCTCCAGTCTATGAATAGAACACCGCGGCAAGCAAGACTCCATCATCGTTTGTGCAGATCTCACCGGCAATCGTTGTTTGTGGTCAACCGCTATCCGTGATGTACGTGAAGTTAACTCATTCCGTGAACGGAACTAATCGCACAGAATAAGGCTAACTAACTGACCGGAAATTGCGTGCTGAACTAACAGCACAAGTTTAGATCCAATTGGAGAGAGGCAGTGGTGAGATCAAGAATGAAATGTTATTGAAGCATGCAGGGCAATGAGGGTGTAGATCAGACCGAAATGCTATTGAGTTTGCCTAGACAAACATTACTGTCTGATGACAATAGTATAACATCTTTCAGTGTTTGGTTTTCTCCATTCATTCGTGTGGGAATTCGTAAGCGAAAGGTTATCGAAGGATTAGCAGGAAAGCGCATTGTACCTAGTGACTAACAATTACCCATTGAACCAGTTCAAAATCTCCAAATCAAAGAGTCAAATCTAGGTTCGGTGTCTTACTAATGATAGCGACACTAGTATCGTGAGAACACCATTACACCGTAGTCACCTATTTGGTCGCTAAGTACTATTGATTTCTTCAGCATCGATCGGGATTTCCGATAACCCAGAAGAGATGTCAAACGCTGGATTTCACCACATCCATCGGAGTGACAGACAGCAGAGGAAATGGATCGCATACTCACATAGGTCTATTGCTTGATAATGTGAAGCGACCAACTAAGCCCTAGAACATGGAGCAGTGAATCGTATTGGGTCGGAATCTAGTCGTGGTTCTGGGATTGAATGTCATTCACTATGTCTAATGAAAAATAAAAATCCCAAAATTATGACAGGTTCACCAAAATTGGATAGGGATTCACAAAGAGAGCCCGTGAATTCATTGTATTTCCTTCAAATGATATGAAAAATAGACCTATCTCAGTTTTGTGACCTGCACACACAGCGAAACGAAGTGTAAACCGTGGCGGCGGTGGTCCTTGCGGAAGCTGTAACTAACGCGAGTTGGTTTATAAGATCAGACTGTCAAATCATGCCACTGTTATGCCACTTTGATGGTGGTATGTTTCCGTATCTTTCAACTCAATACATTCTGTGGTTGGCCACTTGATCACAATAATTGAATTGTTGATACCCATGACCGAAGAACGGGTTTTGGTGGCTATTGGGTTTACCATTTTTACTGTTCCGTAAAAGAAAAACAACCAACAGCACTCAGATCAGCTAAACTTACTTCAACAGATTGTGATGTTTCGGTATCTTCAGGACGTGACTCCACTATAGAAAAGGTAAGAGACACAATTAACAAGTTTAACAAGCGACACTCAGTGAGTTTGTAATAGATGATCTGATGATGATAATAGATGGTCTTACTCAAAAAACAGGCTGCCTCAACGTGATCAAGTCCTGTGGAAGGACACATCTCAAGTTTTTCCTTAAATCCCATTTTGAAGCCAGATCATGCGAAGAGTGCAGTTGATCAGTTCTTCCATTTTCAAACGTTTGGTCTGTGGTGATTATGCTTCCGTTGGATTAGAATAATTTATTCAGAAAATTATAGCTGCACTGATGATGTTAGCTAATCTGGATACGAAACGTCTGCGAACAACACTTCCAGCTCGTAGAACACACCAATAACGGGCGGACAATAAAGCGTGACAGGAAAAATATACAACTAAACAAAAGAACATGTTGAGTGCTTCACTGCGAGTTGTCGCAGCTGGCGCATCTGGAACGATAAGCGACGCAATCTATCAACATCGACTTGCACATGGTAGGATTACTCTCTGCGGTGACTCCTATGAATTTGGCGGTGTGTTTTGGTAATGGGTACGGAAGTGATAACTAAGAATTTTAAGGGCCTCTTCAGACTGAGAAAGAATAAAAACGCATTCGAAACACTTGGAAGTAATTAAATGGAGACCAGATTGGTTAGAGAATACTTGTACTTGTACTAAACCGTCAGAAAATAATTCCATGTCACAGTGGTTTTAGACAGCTTGGCATAAGACGACATCAACAGTATATCTAAAGGTCTGGGCTGCCGGGATGAACGGTAAATCAGCGACGATCGATGAAAATAAGTACGGAAAAAGCACAATACTCCAATGGACTCCAGAATCCTTCACTGACGGTTTTCAAACAGTGCACTTTTCTTCCCTTTGAGACCTTCTAGTGAAATAGCCTTCCAGTCGCGACAACGAATTGGTGGAGCAACAGAGCGACTGTAATTTTCGACGAGATCGTGTAACGGATTAAAAGTGGAAGAACAATCAAGGAAAACACAACAAACTAAATTTGGGAATCCTCTGAAGATGTACAAATAAAGTGCATCAGTGAAGAGATTGCGTCCAAAATAAATCGACTTGGTTTATACGTAAACTGAAAGGATTCATTGGGATCATTGAAACCCAGAAGGCAAGCGGGTGAGAATAGCGCGCTCTACTAGTTTAAATCCAGAGAAAATGATGGCAGTGGGACGAAAGGGTTTGAATAAAATAATAGATGAAGACGACCTGAGTGGTGGGAATGGTGAAAGGTCTCCAGGTATCAGAAATTGAATATGTGTACATAGATTTATTGACAAAGGACGCAAAAATCTACGAGTGGACCTGCGTCATGTTCCAGTTTGTACAATCACAGCAGTGCGACGATTTAGGCTTCTGTTTCTCTACCAGCGGAGAATTAGAAGAGTGTGAAGAAGGCACTATTAAAACAACAGAAAAAAGCCGCAAAGAAAATAAGTGGACTTATGAGTGCTACTGTTGAGGATAGTCAGTTATATCACTGAACGTCTTGCCCTATCACTTAGATGGATTACGAAATCCCCAGCAAGGAAATTTAATAATACCTATTTGGCCGAGTACCCCGGTCAGGGTTTTCATATTCGCATGCCAAATATAGGTCTGGTCACCCTGTCTTCTACCCATCATTACCCACCTCGGCAAAAATTGAACACCAAGAAAATCTATCCGGTAGTAAGTAAAATACACGCCAGAGATCGCGATTGACTGTCAATGCTGAAATGCGAATGGCAATCTTCACCTAACACTCGACATTGTCTCGTTGTCCCACCAGACTAGTGAAATACATCGCGGACAGTGGTTTTTGAAAACTGATGATGTTTTATCTTCCAATCGTAACCTCCGTTTCTGCATCATACAGAATAAACAACAGCATAGTTGCAGCATTTATTCAGCCTATCACGAACAATCGACGTTACTGTTGTGCGACTAATTCTTGTGTGAGGATGAGTTTCTGAAGATAGCTGCCCGCTAGCTGTTTTCAGCGATCAGGTCGACGCATAATGCATGCAAGCTCTGACTTCGGATTCAGAAGCCATGCATAGCTTTCAAACCGTGCTCCGTGTCTTCTTTGACTGTTGTGAAGACAACGACAGCCCAAACGGCGTTAAGAGAGCACTGTAATAGAACACCAAAGAATATAGCCGAACCACTGAAGACGACAGTGTTGCAACAGTGTAGTTTTTTGGGGAACAGCAGAGTCAGTGGATTTCCTTATTGCATAAGCGGTTGTGCCACTTCGCTTTCACGATGTATCGCAGACCCTAGTGATAAAAAACGTTGAGTCTTTGAAGGTCTTGGGCTCCCACTGGTTACGTCTCACAGTTCAGGACGGGACAGATGGCAGCTCAATAGACTCGCACCTCAGAGGCTGATTTTGTTGCGTGGTCACTGTTCGGTGGAGTTGTACAAACAGCCTTTAACCGACATCGACGAGTAGCCAACTTTTGTTTTGCCAGGTCATTAGGCTGCACGGTGGAGTCAAGACATGTGAAATCCTGGAGGAAATTCTAATGGCTCGCCATTGATAGTGACTGCATTTTGTGTTGGAATTTCAGTGGTCAAGATGACTTTTACCTTGAACGTAGTTATTTATGTTGCGGTGTTACCTTTACCAAATGTTTAAGGGAGAACTCCTGGATACATGCCGTAATCATTGTTCACCGTAACTGTGGTTCGTGTTAAGCTTGTTAGCTATTGCGTTTGATAGGATCAGTGTTCTTTCTTGATTGCCCACATCTGCAGCATTGATACTGGTAACAAGGCGAGGAGTCTGTTGAGTTTTCACGTGGATCCTGAGGCAAACGCGTGCCATCTGCTTCGGCACGAAACGTGCCTCAGGTTGGCAAACATCAGTCGGGTCTCATGTATGCATGCCAAAACCCCAACCGTAATTACTCCACCAGATGGCTGCAGCTGCTCAAGAAGTAAAAGCTAGCTACGTTAGCTATTGCCTCTCCCGTCAAAGAGGAAGTGAGGGCTAGACTTCACCAATTATATGCCAGCATTTAGCACTTATCGACTCAGAAACCACAATCAATGCACGGAAACAGGGACAACAACAACAACAAGATTGAAAAGGAAGTCTTAATGAATACCATCTCCCGTAAACTCAGGTGAAAAAAAACAATAAGCTTGAATGCGGTTTAGGATGTTTATACGCCGAGATTGTAATGGAACAACAAACTTCCAGTATATACCCTTTAGGGACGGGCAGTGCCGAATTTTATCACGATCGACTGGGTTGAAGGACGTTTTTAGGCCTAGTAAGAAAGAAGTTGTAGGTCCAGGGAAGGAGTGTCTGTGTTCAAGAATGCGTCGAAAAATGAAAAATCCCTGACGCAGTCTAAAACCAGTCTGATTCTCAAGCGTGCACCGTTCGCTTCGGTGGACAATTGACGGAGTATGATGACACGGAGGAGCTCTGAGGAAACATCAATTAAACTAATTCCTCTGTAGTTTACAAAAGGATTTATTCTTTTCCTTTAGAATCAGTAAGGTACGCGATTTTCACCACTTTAATAAGGTTTGTTCGATTTCCTATACCGAACCCAGGAAACCCATCAACTTCAAAACCACGGCAGAGCCTTTTGGCTGATCTGATAGTGTGGAGGAATTGAAGTAAAATTGTCTTACTGATTTAACCATCTTAGTGGTTTCTGATTTGCTTACCCTAATAGCAAAACTCTGAGGGGTATAGACAAGAGACATCTGTGTTTTCAAATCAGAAGGATGAACTGAACAGATAGGACAGAAAGGGGGTTTCCCAAACAGATGCGTGGGACATCAAGGGAGGATACATCTCGGGGTAGATGGGTAAAAATGACCGGAGCGTCTGACTCAAAGTTTCGCCAACAAAGGGCACAGATCCAACGTAGGGACGTGACCGAAACACATGCATGGGAGGTTCTGAAGTACCGTCACGCAGGGTATTGAAGTTTCGGTTCAAAGAAGAAAAGCTAAACGACCCAGTAAATGGATGTTATACATAGCAAATGGAGGAAGTTAGTCGGTGATGGGATCGAAGAAGATAAATTGACAACCTCAAGATTTAATATTCACCAAAAAATCCGCAAACCGTAATCAGTGCGATCTCCCAGGCCGAAATCGGTCAGTTGAGAGAGAACGCGTTGTATTATTCTCGAAAACAGAACAAAAAAATCAGAAAAATACAAACATCCTGGCCAGTTTTAGTGAGTATATGCATTATTTCCAGTGGAATGTAACTTGAGATTCAAAGCCTCGTGAATCGAAAACAGGCAGTAAGTGGGGAGAAATAAAACACGATCCATGTATTCATTTTTCTCTTGATGTGGTTAGAGCAATAAACGACTGTAAAGTGGTCTACGGTTGCAGCGAGAAACAGAGAGAAACAATATCGGAAAGAATGAATGGCAGGTTAAGTTATAGAAAAACAACAAGAACGTGAAGAACATGAAGGAAGCATGACTTATTTGGATTGAAAAGTATATGTGATTTTGTGTCAAGAGAGACAGTATAAAGGAGTTTATGCCAATCTTCGTCAGAGAAATTAGTCACAGATTACGTCATTCAAAAGAACTCAAAATGTTCCTATATTAGCAAACAAGCACACAAAAAAACCCGGCACGCTTACCAGATAGCTTTTGCTTTCGCTTCTTTAGTGATCGTTGTTTTTTCCTTACACCTCGATCTGGACCAGGGCCAAGTGGAAGATCCATATGAGCTTCCGGTGTTACGTTTGGTGTCGAGGCCTGAGCGATTTCTTTCTGAGTTTCGACTTCTTGAAGTTGCTCTCGTAACAACGACATTTCGCTCTCGGTTTCCCGCAACCGAACGACAAGATTATTCACTTGTTCAGTGTGAGCATCCCGTAAAGCTGTCAATTCTGCTTGGCGAAGCTCCTCAGTATCCAGCAATTTCTGTTTTAGTTCCTAATTGACCAAAGTCAAAATGAAAAGAAAACGTCAAGGGTGATTAGTACTGAATAAAACGAGACAGATGTAACGGAAGGTGTACATCGCCAGTGATCGCCAATCTCTCTGATGGTTTCACGAAAAAAATACGACGTATTGCTTCCTTCTAGCCAAGAAACTCCAGATTCGTTAAACTAACCAATCTAGTATTGGTCTACATTGCACGCCTCATAGAACACAGAGGAAATCTATCGCCCAAAACGTGAATAGAACAACTAGATCAGTGCGGAAAACCCCAAGTACTTAACCCCAGGTGCCTTACCTCATCCTAACCCGTTTGGTTGACCACACGGGCCAAGATATTCAAACTCTAATGCGCATTATGCACGTTCCACAGACAATAACTACTGCTGCCCTCTAACATTTTTTAAAATGGCCATAGGTATTTGTTTCTTTTGTCGTACATATCAGTGTAATGAACAGTGGAAGGATTGAAACTGAATATTTCGAAGTTTTATCTTGACAACACTGTATTGCATACTCAATTATAGCCGCCAGTCTGAAGGAGTTTGGATTATAATGTCGGAATAATCTCGAAGGCTGTCGAGCATTTTCGTCCGATCTGAAGAAAGTTGTTCTATTATTCGAAAATTAGATTCCGGGTGCAGCACCGTTAGAACACACTGGTTTGTATGGTGTATTGACAAACAAAATCTCTATGTTGGCATTCACGATTAAAGACTAAAATTAGATCCTCTTTGACTTGAAAAGTCTAGGTCAACTGGAGCGACAAGATTCTTTATCACGGAGTTCGACCACAGGGTGCAGCTACATGCCTGGTTAAATACCTGGTGTCACTGAGGAAGAATGAATACATGGTTGTCAGATGAAACGAAACCGGTCAAGGAGTTATAAAGATCACGCGTTCTTGAGAGCAAAAGCGCCCAAACATTACTGTTCAATTGGCAAGGATGAAACTGAAATTTCCCGAAGATCTCATTTAGAGCTTATGACTGGAGCATATACACCGGTTCATTCTCAGTCTATACTGCGAACCCACCATACGGAAACCAGCTCACACTGGGGCTAACTATAATAAACCAATACAGCTCGCTAAGACGTAGCCGTCAAATAGTAATGAACGGGGAAAGGCTAACACTTCAATCAAGTCAAATCAAGTCAAGAAGCGGCTTTAATTCTCCCCATAGAGGATGAACATTCAGCTACTACACAATCACTCTTGTTTGGAAATTACATGGTAACAAAACGTATAGTGGTACGTTACATATACAAAAAGCCAATTTAGCAAAGATTTTGTCTAAGAGTCCTAATGACAAGATCAGCGTTGGTAAGAAACCGTGCCAAGTACGGCAATATACAAGACTTGTATGTAGTGGTACGTGCTGCTATATGTTTATACATGGAACGAGTGCTAGATGTGGAAATACATTGACTAAGGTGCGGGTACAGTGGGTGAGATGGGTCAAGTAGTATTCTCGTAAAAAGTTTCTGGCGCTGTGAAATAATAAATTGCACAATATACTCAAGGGATATGCC